TCATTCTAATTGGATATAAGTTTTAGATTTTATCATCCTTTTGTAAGGTAGATTTTATTCTTGAGATTTTGTGAATTGAATAAGTTCCGAGCCTTATGCACTTGTGGGACCCGTCTCACGAGTGTACGACGTCTGCCACGTCCCCGGATTTGGGTTCTGGGGCGTGACAGATTAAGTGGTATCAGAGCTTAGGTTTAATTAATATTTTGTGATGTCAGAGCCTAGTTTAATTAAATACCTAGGATTTGTTTTGGATCTGGCTAGCCAATGGATTTTAGAACCGTGGTGAGACGAGTGATGGGATTATATAAGGGACGATTCTGATTTATGTTGCCTGAATTTTTTGATTCACTTTGATGAGATAGTAATTTAGTTAGTTCCTGTTATCTGCCGTTGGTGAGAATTTTTGAAATTTATCTTGCTCGCTATGCTCTTAGGACCTTGTTTGAAACTTGGTCCCTTGTGATAATATGCTTGGTTTTGGTTGTGGCAGGATGTATAAGGCCTTCCACATTAGGTCTGTTTGTTTAAGTATTCATCTGGGCATTCATACATGAATGCAAACATAGACATACATGAGCATATACACGTATACATGCATGCACACATGGGCATTCATGCATGCACACATGGGCATTCATGCATGCACACATGAGCATTCATACATGCATGCATAAAGGCATTCATTCATACATGCATTCATCCATTCATGATTCTATATATTCGAGTGATGCTTATCCGTCTCGGATAGGGTTCCATCTTTTAGTTGTACTCATCATTAGATTCCTTGCCATGTTGTTGTGTTTGATGAGTGCCGGGTCTTGATTTGAGTCAAGAGCACCACATAATCACACCGATAACCCTCGAGTGTAGTTACTTGTGTTGAGGTGTGAAGTTAACTTCGGCTTCCCAAATGGCCATTAGGGAGGGTGGAGATTGAGAATTGTTGTTGGCTTGTTAGGGTAGTGATGAGTATCCAGTCCCTGTAAAGTGAATCTGACTATTGTACCTTTGTAATTGTTAGCCGTGTATTTTGAGATTGATTTCCTTGTTATTGTTGTGGTTTGATATTAGAGTGGCGCAGCGGAAGCGTAGTAGGCCATGTTCTGATCATAGAAAATCGGTGAGGCATTTGTTTTGTCTTAGATTGTGTGAAGCCATTCACCAGTCTAGATGATCCTAGATTTGAGTTTTGGGGACAAAACTCCTTTTTAGAAGGGGTGAATCCTTCGGCTTTTTTTGCTGGGTATGAATCCTTCGGCTTTTTTTGGTAAGCCACAGCCAAGAAATCATCTCCTTAGCCTTGATTTAACTTGGGTTACTCTAATTTTTGGTTGTGGTTCTTGAATTTTGGGTAGTTTCCGTGAGTTTCCCTGCAGATCTCGTCGGCTCTCCACCTGCTAGCTCTGGTTGTGCTTGCCAGAATTTTTTGGTATGAGACTTAAACCATTTAATTGTTGCCTGTGTTGTTGAATTTTTTGCTGGAAATAGGGGAGAAATTTGACAGTAATTAGACCATGATTTAGCTTAATTCATGTAGAAAATTAGCTTATTTTGGCTGCTGTGATTTTTGG